TGTTAAGTTTATTATAATAGTTTATATCTATAATATTTAATCATAATATTTATCCGTACAACATATTGACAATAATCATATATATTTATTTACAATACAATTTAAATTAAGAAAAAATTTAAATTAAGAAAAAATTCTTATTTATTTATTTACAATACAATTTAAATTTAAATACAATTTAAATTAAGAAAAAAATTCTTAGTGGTATGTATTTTATTTATTTACAATACACGTAACATGTAAGAAAATTCTTATTTATTTATTTACAATACAATTTAAATTAAGAAAAAATTGCAAAAATGATCCATGTGGTATGTATTTTTTGGGATTTTAGTTAAAACTCTGACTTTTTTGGTTTCATGGTCCTTTTGGCCATGATTATATGCAGATTTTGTCCCTCGTCAAACTGAAATGACTAAATTATCCTTATTAGATTTATTTTACATTTTCTTTTTTTGTATAAATATTTTTATATATTAAATAAAGATAGGGGGCTCTCTTTCTCTCCTATTGAAACTAAAAGAACACACATAAACATCTTTCTCTCTCACTTGGAAGAGACCACCGATCTCTGCATTGATAACCTCTGTCAGAGATCTTTCCACCTTAGAAAACCCTCAACATAGACACCATCTCATCCCACACTTGCGACTCCCAATTTCATTTGGGATTTGGATTTGTTTGCAATTTTAGGATCTATGAAACGTGTGTATCTTGCAGATTGAAATTGAGTGATTATCCTTACTCTTCATCTTCTGCGAATTTGGTGTTCCATTCAGGTGCTCAAGTTTGGGTTCGATCTGGTGTAAATTTGGCTTGTTCACTGTGGGTTGAAGGATTATACCACCTGTTTACATAGATAAACACACACACACACACACACACATCCATCAATTTCTGATTCAATGGAGAAGATGGAGACCAACCACCATCATAGAAGAACCCACCACCAGCAGCCACCCCCTTCACTCTCCCTCTCTTTCCCCTACAGCAAAACACACACATACACACTAAAAATCAATACACACGAACACATGGAGATATATAATGAAGAGATCAACATCATTTTAGATTCTCTGTGTGCGAGACCTTCATATTCTATGTTTAGCTGATTTATCCAATGTGTAAAGACATCGCTATCTCCAGTATTTTCGATTCACTCCATCAATTTTTTTCCTGGGATTCTATCATTAGGTTTCATCGAATTTTTGGTTTGGGGTAATTATTTTGGTATCATCTTTGATTTTGAGTTTGATTCTAGCATAGTTTCATTTTGTGTTCATCTTCTTCAGTGTGTATCTCACACAATCGGTAAAGGAAAGAAATAAAATAGAGTGAAGGGTATACAATCCAAATGCAAGAATCGATTATTTGAGAAGGGTAAATCGGATCTTTGATGGTGTAATCAAATGTTTGTAAGAAAGAAATTGCATCTCTAATGCTGGAATCGATTGTAAACAAGGGTTAGATCGCAAGTGGGTTTGCACAGGAGAGAGAGAGAGAGAGAGAGAGAGAGAGAGAGAGAGAGAGAGAGAGAGAGAGAGAGAGAAAGAGAAAGAGAGAGAGAGAGATGTGGGCCCAAACTAAATATTTATTTTCTTTTTCATTTAAATTAAATAGAAAAAACATTAAAAATATATCAGAACGGCATTGCAGTCATTTCAATTTTACGAGGGACCAAATCTACGTATAAACATGGTCAAAAGGACCACGAAGCCAAAAAAGTCGGGGTTTGAATTAAAAACCCAAAAAATACATACCATAGGGACCATTTTTTGTAGTTTTGTCTAAATAATATTTTATTTATAAATGTTATTTATCATTTTCGTTAAGTTTATTATAATAGTTTATATCAATATTATTTCATCATAATATTTTAGCGTATAACATATACACAATAATCATATATAAATAACATTTTGTAAACACGTAACATGTAAGAAAATATTATTTAAATTAATTTACTAATATAAATGAGGATCTTTTAACGACATGTCTAACGGAAAATGTGGACGTTACAAGCACTCTTATGCATAGTGTCTGATCTCTCCGCAGACGTAACATTTTATGATTTTCTTATGTCAGTTATTGTTATGTTGATGATTGGTCTTGTTGAACACCTTCATCTTAGGTGCCAAAACTTGATTGTTCTAGCACCCATTCTTAACCTTATAACCATTTACCCCATCAATCACATTATGTACCTTTGATCAAACTTTAACCCTCTTGTCCCTGTTTTGTGTTTCCTGTTTAAATCGGAGGTGCTTAAAAAAAATCATCCAAGGAGTAGTCCTTAGACTTGTGCATCATCTTCTTTAAGAAATTTTTCTAAGAACACTACATGTTTATGATGATTCAGCCTACATGGAAGACCTCTGGTGTAGCAATGAAAACTGAAGTTAGCTTGTTGACTAAGACATGAAGGTCATGCACTTTTTCCAGTATTGGTCTATCTCGACCATTTAAAACTCCAAGTACTTAGACACAAGGTACTTGTTAGTACCTTCATCATGTGCCTTGAACTTGAGTACTAAGGCTTTGTACAACTCTTTTGGATTTGTGACCGGTACGTACAGATCATAGAGGTGGTCAAATAATGAGTTCTTGATTTGACCAAGTAACCCGCCACAATTGAAAGTGATGAATTAAATATCTATTTATATGTTAATATAAAGGGTTTTGTTTCATTCTGTTGCAATGTGGGACAAGGTAAGTGAAGATTTGTAACATAATTAGGAAAGGTGGCATGGGTTTAATTTGCTTATGGAACAAGTAACAAAGGATTATTAGGTTTTTGTGGATTTGCGTGAGGTAAGTTTTGTATGGCATAGTGAATTAAGAAGGGTGAAACCATGAGTACTATGTTGAGGATAAGGGTTTTCAACTTTAATACTATCTACATCCCATATTTATTGTTCATTTTTAACTTTTAAATCTTTATTCTTCAGTTTTTACAATAATTATTTTTATTTGTGTTAGAATTACATGATGAAACTTATAAAAATTAAAACACATTTAAAACAAAATACATTCATATTTTGCATCAAGTATGGTACATCAAAAATAAAAATATTTAAGATTAAAGTCAAAGAATAAAGACTTTAAAAGTCAAATGTACACAATAAATATGGGACGAAGGGAGTAATAGTTTAATTATGGTATGCTTTTCTCATGTAAATATATCTTGTGCATGAGGTTTTTGTGAAGTTTAGAGTTGTAGGGTTTTAACTTTTAAAATGTATCGATATAGGACATGAACAAGGATGGTTTTGATGTATCGGATTTTGAGATAGCATGCATGAGTTAATTTTCGTCCAACATAGGCACTCCACCTTTTTTTTTTGCTAATTTCGGACATTATAACTACAGAATTGGTGAAAACGCAATAAAAGAAAGTTGTAGGTACGTATTTTTGTCTTCTTTTCAAGTTAATTTGAATCACTTGAATTGGAGCAACGAATAGTTAGATATGACCAAAATACTGAGATGATGTTAATATTTCCAGCAAAATTCTATTAATTGTTTTGTCCAATTTGCTCGTGTTCTTTAGCCTTCAATCTTATAAACAACCGTAACTGACACAAAAATATCGTTTGTTAATAAAATATTAGCTAATAAACGTTGTGCAAAATCGACACAATATTAATCACTTATAGAAACCTTTAAGACTGTTGTATACTAGAATATATATATATATATATATATATATATATATATATATATATATATATATACATATATATATATATATATATATATATATATATGTCAAATCAACATTTATTATTGAGAACTATATGTTGATTAATTGTGAATAATTAATCTAATTATTATTATTATTATTATTATTATTATTAAGTTTTGTCTAAAAAACAGTTTGATTCTTCACGATCATACATGATTATAATAAAGGGAGAAAATTGTCTCGTTGTCGAATGAATTAAAATTAAAGAAAAGTAAATTTAAACTAACCTCGAGTTGTTGATCTTGACTTGTAAAAGATCGGACGAAAGAAACTTTTGTCCTTAAACGTTTTTACGTCAGTCTAAAATTGTATGTTTCTGCGTAAAAGCCATAACTTTATGCAAAATATCTTTCACTCCAACCACTATGGAAAAAGAGATAAACACAAAGTGATTACTTGGAAACGAAAGAACTACTGGAATTCGCACACACACACACACACACACACATAGAGAGAGAGAGAGAGACGATTATTTGGTAGTGGTTAAATGAAACCTGAAAATTCTTATTTATACTCAATGCAAAAACTCAAATCCCTATAAAAATAAAAGATAAAACTTCAAAAATGGTCCCTGTGGTTTTCAAAAATATCAAGTTTAGTCCCTAAGTTCAAAAAACCTCACAGATAGTCCCTGTGGTTTCAAAACTTTTAACAAATGGTCCTTTTCGCTAACACCGTTAACATTTAACCATTAAGTGAGGGGCATTTTTGGTATTTCACTACACAGGGATCATTTATGAGGTTTTCAGTTACTTTTTTTTAAATAAATAAATAAATAAAAATTAATATGCAAGGGTCCCACCTCTCTCTCTCTCTCTCTCTCTCTCTCTCTCTCTCTCTCTCAGCTGCACACCCTCACACTTAAAAATCAAAACCATGGCTTCCACCATACCTACACTTTTACTTCCCCATTTCCTCATGTATTTTCTTCTTTCCTTTTCGTCAATCGAAGCTAGCATCTATGGTAACAAGCATTAATGACCGGGAAGTGAATTCGAAGAAGCATACGACCAACAATTTATTTTGTGAATTTATATATTGTCTCTTCTTTCTTCTAGTTGGGTTATCGATAAAGAACAAACCCAAATTCGTAATGATCTTCATGATTTTCAGACTCTTGATGGGATTTTGATTTCAAATTTTGAAGTGAAATGATTTACAGGTTCTGCATTTTATCTTATTCATGAGATTCTTCATCAAATCACATTTTCAGCCCACCATCCCACAACACCCAAATCTTTGCCTCTCATCTCCTTCACCCTTCTTTGTCACTTTCACGTCTCTTTCTCCCTATGAAACTTTGAGGTTCCAACGAAAACCATATCAAGGATAGTGGAAATAGAAGTAACAATGATGAGGGTGGGTTTGAAGAATGTGAAGGAAGTTGTTTGATACGTTCATAGGAATCAAGTATTCCTTGCTTCAATTGGTGCTTCGAGTGAGAATCCATTAGGTTACAATAGAAGTTACAGATAGCACACTCTTTACTCCTTAATTTTGTTTCCTCTTCTAAAATTAGGGTTTGTGCCTCGTTAAATCGCTGATGATTGTAGAGCGAAGCAATCACATCGGCTATAAGCTTAGCATTCCAATTGAAACATGATGCTTTATTAATCTCGTAGTATAACTACAAAATTACATATAACAATTCCGACTATGAATCCACCCTTTCAACTTTTTTGTTCGAATATGAATTGTAGAAAATTGACATCAAAGTGTCACTGGATTGAGTATAGATAACATATCGATGAGAGAGCTGACTTACAGGGAATGCGATAGGAGAGAGACGAGAGAATGAGGTGTTGATCAGAGCAACGAGGTGAGAGATGGCGTCGAGAGCTACGGATTTAGAGGATGAAGCGACGAATTTCCGAATCAGCCGAGCGGTGGTTTCCGGATCGTCGGTTGTAGCGACTGATGTAAGAAACCGGTGACCTTGTTTACTCAATGCTGCAGAGATTGGAAGCCTCATCGGTTGCTCAGTCCATGAGGTAGTTTATGCATCGCTTAAAAGAGAGAGAGAGAGAGAGAGAGAGAGAGAGAGAGAGAGAGAGAGGGTGGGGCCCTTTAATATTAAATAATTATATTTTTTTTCATTTTTTATAAAATTAAGGCAAACTTCATAAATGGTCCCTGTGGTGGTAAAATGACTGAATGCCCTTCACTTAACGGTTAAATGTTAACGGTGTTAGCGAAAATGACAATTTGTTAAAATTTTTGAAACCACAGGGACCATCTGTAAGTTTTTTTGAACTTAAAGACTAAACTTGATTTTTTTGAAAACCACAGGAACCATTTTTGAAGTTTTATCAAAATAAAAATATGATAAAAAAGTACAACCACTCACACAAGTCTCACACCACAATTTGAATTTCTAATCCAATAATGTTTGTTATCTCATCCAATTTAACCTAGATTTATCTAGTCTTTCTAAAATTGTGAATTGCAAGTGCGGTGTGTGGGCTCGGCATTATCTCTTGTTTACAATGAAGCTCATCATGAGAAAAGGCTTATAACTAGACTTTTAGTTCTTCTTCGGATTAATGTGTGACAACGAAAAATTGGTTACTTGCAATTACACCACTATATTCCATTAAGATGAATTTAACAATTATTGAACGTAACTGTTACAAAATTTGCAAGAAGCATAAAAAAGTAACTAATCAAACTGCGAAGTATATAACATGAAACTTAGTGTTACGTTATGAGTTATATCGTAGCATTACATCATTTCATAAAAAGACATTAGGTGATATATATATATATATATATATATATATATATATATATATATATATATATATATATATATATATATATATATATATATATATATTGGAAAATGACTTAATAAGGTTTTTGCTATGTACACATTTAGGACTTTATTTATTATTATTATTATTTTGTAAAATAAGCCCTATAACTTGTTATTTTGTACACATTCAGTTATTATGATTGGTTACTTCAGGTTATGACCGTCTACTTTATGTTAAGTTTTTAGTTTACACACATTTAGTTCTTAATATTTTTTGTTGCAAAATAAGTCATTGTTGTTTTTGTACACATTCAACTCTTATGATCAGGGTTTCTTTAGGATTTGCCAAAATAACATCCTACGTGGGACCATCATTAATATTATGTTCTCGTACGTGGCTTGTACCTCACTTATATAAGTAACCTAATTCATGTATCAGTCAAATAATGTTGGTGCCCTAGTTTTCTTCAGGAATAAGACGTCTTCGCCTTCAGTTTCATCTATCTCCATAATATACAATGGGATTTTTGATAATTGTTTTCTCCCAACTAGAATTTGCACTTCCAAGACAAAATAACACCATAAAAAAAGTTTAGTGTATTCTATAATTCCTTGGTATGTCATTTTGACCATTTTTAGAAAATAGATTTTTATTTATTTAAAACTGACCCTGAATTATGAAGATGAGCTTGCAACTATCAAGATGAAGTTTTCTGTCTCAACCACCTTGAATTGCAATGTACTAAAACCCTAGAACGATTAGGGTTTTGTCACGAGGATTAAGGAGACCCATCATGAACTTTTATTAATTTATTAATCACTAATAATTAACAAACTAGATTATTGATAAACTCTCATGTCAATAATCGCTTAAATTATTCATTCAGTGTAATCCAAAAAGACTTTGATATTAATAGTAATATTACCAATTGCTATGAATGTGAACATTATTTCCAACATTTGAAATTATTAAGGATAATGTATTTTCTTCACATGATCTAATGTAGTTTGTATTTTTATCGATTGAATTAAGTTTGCATTAATTTGGATTAAATATAGTTGATATTGTACTATAATAATTACTAATATCAAAAGTACAATGTTATTACCAAAACGAAAAGAATAAACACATGATTTCACTTCTCATATGAGCTACATATGAGAACATCTTGTTAATGATTGTCCCACATAAGATGTCATGTGAGAAATACCTCAAGAAACTTATTATAATGACTAAATGTATATAAAAACAACAAAAACTTATTTTGCAAATAAAATATTAAAAATTAAATATGTACAAAATAAGAATTTAACCTGGAGTAATCAGCCATAAGTATTAAATATGTATAAAAATAATAAATTCAAAGGCTTATTTTACAAAAAATTAATAATAAAAAAAAATAAGGACTATACGTGTTAAAAACAAAATACTAAATCATTTTCAAATTTTTTTATCTGCCATTTAAACATGTTCCATCAACAATTGTTTATATTCCTTTAGAAAAGATACTTTCATGTAAAGAAAAATGAATAAAAAAAGAGTGCAACTTTTAATACAACCAACCATCTTCTATATTATATATTGTGTAAAATCATACCATTATGTGTAACTGCACTCCCCAGGCACCTTAAGAGCACTCGATATGGACAAGGAAAAATGATATTATTATTGAGGGGGCACTTCATAACATGGTCATAAAAAAATGTATACCACCCCCTTTCTAGTTAAAGGGTGTTAAGGTACAACTCGTTGTAACGATGACAAGCAATAATAAGAAATGTGATTGGCTTTTGATTTTTTTACAATTGAATGAAAATGATTTTAAAAAAGAAAATAATAAAAATTAGTGAGTGTTATAACGTGGATACGAGTTCCTACCATGGTGTTATAATATCATTGGTGATATAGCATCTGAGGTGTCACCTCTATGGTGTTATTATATGTTCCTAATATTCAATGCTCTAATGTTATAATAATTCAATAACTAATTAAAGCTAAAGTACTTTAATATAATTAATTAGTTTATAACTTGTGGAAATCATAGTTACAAAATTAATTAAACTTTTATAGTAAAAACTCAAAATTATTAATCAATTATTTTAAATAAACTGTTAATTAAAATATTTTTTAGTTATATAAAATTATAATAACTTGTTTAAATAAATATGACCTTATAATCCATATTAAGTTTATTTTATTTTTTATTTTAATGATATTAATTTAATGTAATTGAAATAGAAAATTTAAAATTTGAGTTTTAAAATAAAAAATCAATAGATTGATAAATGATATGATATTAATTAGAAGATCTAATAAAAATGATATAAAATATTAAAAAAATTTATTAAAATAAAGAGAAAAGATTCTCATTCGTTTTATTCCTTGAGATCATATAAAATAATGTCATTTGATCAAAAATTAAAAATAATAATAATAATAAAGAGCTATCATGTTCATTCATGTAAAAGAAAATACATCTAAATATAAGCACGAGGTAGTCAGCATGCTAAAATTAACCCTATATACACAAGCCACCTGTAGCATCTGGTTTAAGCTTTACACGTAAACCCTAAATATATCCCCTCAACCGACGGCGGTCAGTATCTCCGGTAATGTATAGAGTAGCAAGCGCGTCGGAGTATTTGGTGATCACTGGATCCGGGATCGACGACATCAAAATCGCAAAAAAAGCATGGGTATTTCCCGGCCAGACCTATGCCAAGTTCGACATAACTCCGGTGAACTACACTTTCGATGTCCAGGCCATGAGCGCCGAAAAACTCCCCTTCATCCTCCCCGCCGTTTTCACCATCGGTCCACGTTCCGACGACAATGAAAGCCTCCACAAATACGCCAAGCTTATCTCCCCACTTGATAAGCACTCACACCATTTGAACGAGCTCGTTATGGGGATCATCGAGGGGGAGACCCGTGTCCTTGCTGCCTCCATGACCATGGATGAGATCTTCAAAGGTACGAAGGATTTCAAGAAGGAGGTGTTTGAGAAGGTTCAGTGGGAATTAAACCAGTTCGGATTGTGGATCTATAATGCCAATGTCAAACAGTTGGTCGACGTTCCTGGACATGAGTATTTCTCTTATTTAGGGCAAAAGATACAACAGGAGGCTGCTAATCAAGCCAAGATCGATGTTTCTGAAGCCAAAATGAAGGTGATTGATTATCACTATTGTTGCTTAAGTACTTAATTTCTACTTTGAATCGTGGATATATAATGAGTGATCGTTGATTCAGGGTGAGATAGGAGCGAAGCTTCGTGATGGGCAGACTCTGCAGAACGCAGCAAAGATAGATGCGGAAACGAAGATCATAGCTACACAAAGGCAAGGTCAGGGGAAGAAGGAGGAGGTGAAGGTGTTGACGGAAGTGAAGGTCTTTGAGAACCAGAAAGAAGCTGAAGTGGCTGAAGCGAATGCAGAACTGGCAATGAAGAAAGCAAAGTGGGCCAAAGAATCTCAGGTGGCAGAGGTGGAGGCGACCAAGGCGGTGGCGCTGCGTGAGGCGGAGCTGCAGAAGGAGGTTGAGATACTGAACGCTTTAACTCGGACTGAGAAACTCAAAGCTGAGTTCTTGAGCAAAGCTAGCGTTGAGTATGAAACAAAGGTAACAGAATGAATCCAAAATTAACCATTATTTCATGCAATTAGTATAAACCACGAGTTTGATGCAAACAAAGGTACAAGAAGCGAACTGGGAGCTTTACAAGAAGAAGAAAGCCGCAGAAGCAATTCTCTACGAGAAGGAGAAAGAAGCGGACGCTCAGAAGACGATAGCGGAGGCGACACTCTACTCCCGCCAACAAGCCGCCGACGGTGAATTATATGCAAAACAGAAAGAGGCGGAGGGACTTGTTGCTCTTGCTCAAGCTCAAGGTACTTACATACGCACACTTTTGGGTGCCTTCGGAGGTAACTATGCAGCTTTAAGAGATTATTTAATGATCACCGGAGGAATGTATCAAGAGATTGCGAAGATTAATGGGGAGGCAGTTAAGGGTTTGCAGCCAAAGATTAGCATCTGGACCGGCGCAAGTGGTGGTGGAGAGGGCGGCGATGGTGGTCCCTTGAAGGAAGTTGCCGGCGTGTACAAAATGTTGCCGCCGTTGTTTGAGACTGTTCATGAGCAAACCGGAATGTTGCCACCGACTTGGATGGGGAAGATGAACGTCAAAGAATCTTAACGGTTTTCTTATGATATG